TACAAGGCTCTGAGAATAGTAACTTAAAGGAACACTGTGGCATTTGTTTTAGGTCACAGTTCTGGGTTACAGTGGTACAGAAGTGAAGGTTTCAGGAGCTGGTTACATTATGCCCAAAGTCAAAAGAAGACCCATTAGTGTATGCATGCTGATGCTCAGCCCCTTCTCTGCACTTCCATAACTGATGATCCTCTGTCTAGGAAATGGTGCCACCCACAGTGGGCAAATCTTCCTATCTCAATTAACTTAAGATAATACTTCGAAAGCATTTCCATAGGTAAACCTAATCTAGACAATCCTTCAGTGAGACTCTTTCCAGGTGATTAGAGGTTATGAAACCAACAATTAACTCTAACAATCACACTTCCACCAGAGCCTTTCAGGGGCCCTCTGTGGCAGGTTTCTAGCTTGTTTCCTGTTTTCTTCTTCTTCTGATGTCCTTCTTCTTTGTCTTTCGGGATGGGGATTGAGCATTTTAGTCAGGGTCCTCTCTCTTGATTAGTTTCTTTAGATGTACAGATTTTAGTAGGTTTATCCTATATTACCTGTCTATATGAGTGAGTATATACCGTGTGTGTCTTTCTGCTTCTGGGACAACTCACTCAGGATGATCATTTCCAGGTCCCACCATTTACCTGCAAATTTCATGATTTCCTTATTTTTCATTGCTGAGTATTATTCCATTGTGTAGATGTACCACAATTTCTGCATCCATTCTTCAGTTGAGGGGCTTCTAGGCTGTTTCCATCTTCTGGCTATTACAAATAAAGCTTCTACAAACATGGTTGAGCAAGTGTCCTTATTGTGTACTTGAGCTTCTCTTGGATATATGCCTAGGAATGGTATAGCTGGATCTTGAGGAAGCACTATTCCTAGTTGTCTGAGAAAGCGCCAGATTGATTTCCAGAGTGGTTGTACCAGTTTATATTCCCACCAGCAGTGGAGGAGGGTTCCCCTTTCTCTACAATCTCTCCAGCATGTGTTGTCATTCGAGTTTTTCATCATGGCCATTCTGATGGGTGTAAGATGAAATCTCAGGGTCATTTTGATTTGCATTTCCCTGATGACTAAGGATGTTGAACATTTCTTTAAGTGTTTCTCTGCCATTCTATATTCCTCTACAGAGAGTTCTCTGTTTAGCTCTGTTCCCCATTTTTTAATTGGATTACTTGGTTTGCTGTTTTCAGCCTCTTTAGTTCTTTATATATACTGGATATTAGCCCTCTGTCAGATAAAGGGCTGGTGAAGATTCTTTCCCAATCTGTAGGCAGTCATTTTGTTTTGATGACGGTGTCCTTTGCTTTACAGAAGCTTTTCATTTTCATGAGGTCCCATTTATTGGTTGTTGCTGTTAGAGCCTGTGCTGTTGGTGTTCTGTTCAGGAAGTTGTCTCCTGTGCCAATGAGTTCTAGGGTCTTCCCCACATTTTCTTCTAACTGATTTAATGTGTCTGGTTTTATGTTGAGGTCTTTGATCCACTTGTACTTTAGTTTCATGCGGGGTGATAAGTATGGATCTATTTGCATTTTTCTACATGTAGACATCCAGTTAGACCATCACCATTTGTTGAAGATGCTATCTTTTTTCCATTGTATGGTTTTGGCATCTTTGTCAAAGATCAGGTGTCCATAAGTGTGTGGGTTTATTTCTGGGTCCTCTGTTTGGTTCCATTGATCCACCATTCTGTTTCTATGCCAGGACCATGCAGTTTTTATTACTGTTGCTCTATAGTACAGCTTAAGATCAGGGATGGAGATACCTCCAGAAGATCTTTTATTGCAGAGGATTGTTTTAGCAATTCTGGGTTTCTTGATATTCCATATGAAGCTGACAATTTTTCTTCCAGGTCTGTAAAGAATTGTGTTGGTAATTTGATGGGAATTGCATTGAATCTGTAGATTGCTTTTGGTAAGATGGCCATTTTTACTATGTTAATTCTGCCAAGCCATGGGAGATCTTCCATCTTCTGATATCTTCTTCTAATTCTTTCTTCAGAGACTTGAAATTTTTTTCATACAGGTCTTTGACTTGCTTGGTTAGTGTTACACCAAGGTACTTTGTGTCATTTGTGGCTATTGTGAAGGGTGTTGTTTCCCTAATTTCTTTCTCAGTCTTTTTGTCTTTTGTATACAGGAGTGCTACTGATTTTTTTGAGTTAATTTTGTATCTGGCCACTTTGCTGAAGGTGTTTATCAGCTGTAGAAGTTCCCTGGCAGAATTTTTGGGGTCACTCAGGTATACTATCATATCATCTGCAAATAGTGATAATGTGACTTCTTCCTTTCCAATTTGTATCCCCTTGATCTCCTTCAACTGTCTTATTGCTCTAGCAAGGACTTCCAAAACTATGTTGAAGAGATATGGAGAGAGTGGGCAGCCTTGCGTTGTCAGTTTAGTTTCTCTCCGTTTAGTTTGATGTTGGCTATAGGCTTGCTGTATATCGCCTTTACTATGTTTAGATATGTGCCTTGTATCCCTGGCTTTTATTGGTTGAACTTTTATGCTGTTCTCTACCCATTGGACTATCTTAGGTGTTTGAAGTTAGTTTCTGGTGGTTCCTGGAATCCTGTGGTGGAGAGAATCCCTTTGGAAGGAAGATGGTTTTTCCTGAAGGAAGCCTCCTCACCTTTTTGGGTATAGTCACTGTATGGCTGGTGTTTTTCAGGAGTTGCCACAGTTCACCTCAGGCATAGAGATCTGAGTGGTAACTGTGGTCCTTGTTAGTTGAGAGGGCTCTCCTCTCACCCAGAGAAGTCCTGGAGACAGCTGCCCTGCTTCTGGGTTTCTTGCTGTAAATTTAGTGAGCTGCTGCTGTAACCTGTGTGTCCCTTGGTTTGGTCAGTTTTGTTAGGGATAACTAGTTGCCCCTTGGAGCAGTATCTGGGGGTTGATCTCAGGGATTCCAGGCTTTTGTACGTCTGAGGTTGGGGCTCTGTGTCCCAGTACCCAAGCATTAATCTGTGGCGGGTGAGTCCACTCTCCTGGCAACAGGAGACTATCTGGTGCACAGCAGGTCCCTGGGTTGGGCCAGTCTGTGGGACCTTTTCCAGGCATATACTGGGTGGCCTAAGTCTGTCCCCTTTGCTTCGTTCCCTGTGAGGATTTCTCCCGACAGTGACTCCAAGTCTCTGGTGTCCTGGGGCACACACTTCTGTGTGTAAGGAATAATTGGTACAAAGCAGTTCTCAGGGCTGGCGGTGTACGTGTCTGCTGGTGGTCTGCGGGACCTTTCCCAGGGATATCCTGGATGACCTAATTCGGGTTCCCATTTCCTTCCTTCCCTGTGAGATTTACTCCTGACAGGGACTCCCAGTCCCTGTTGCCCTGGGGTGCACAGCTCTGTCTGTGCCGAAGAGCTGGGTACCCAACAACTCTCTGTGCTCCAGGCTTGGGCCCAGATCAGTGATGGCGGCTTGTACCTGCTGGTCTTCAAGACCTTCCCCAGGCAAAGCCTAGGTGACCCAAGTCAGCACCGTTTCCTTCCTTCCCTGTGGGGCCTTCTCCGGATAGGGATTCCCAGTCTCTGTTGCACTGGGGCGCACAGCTCCATCTGTGCCGAGAGCTGGGCACGCAGCAGCTCTCCGTGCTGGCTGCTTGAGCCCAGTTCAGTGATGGCAGCTCATACCCCCGGTCTGCGAGACCTTTTCCAGGTAAAGACTGGGTGACCTGTGGCCAGTCCCATTGCCTTCCTTCCCCGTGGGTTTTTCTCATGACTGGGACTCCCCGTCTCTGGTGTTTTTGTGCCCACCGTTCAGCCTGGGAAGGTGATCAGGACACGCAGGCGTGTGGCTCTGGTCCGGCGACCTAGTGCCTGCAGAACCTGGGATCTCTTCCGGGTTCTGGCTGGGTGGCCTGAGCGTGGACCCCACTGATTCCCACGCTGTGGGGGTTTCCTCTCACCTGGGAAACAATCGCTGTTGTTTTAGGGGCCAGACTTCAGTCTCTTGGTCGCTGAACGGAAAATGTTGTCCTGCTCCTCAGACGCAGTGTTCTCCTGGTGCCACCATCTTGTCCCCCTAAAAACTTTTATTATTATTATTGTTGTTGTTGTTGTATGTTTGCATGGTGTGTATGTGGGCAGGTGTGTGCCCTGGTGTATGTGTGAGGGTCAGAGGGCAACTCTGTGGAGTTGGTTCCATCTTTCCACCTTCACATACATGCTGGGGATTGAACTCAGATCATCAGGCATGGGTGGCAAGCACTTTCATGGCCGAACCATCTTGCTGACCTATACTTTTTATCTGATTTATTCATATACCTGATTTTATTTACACATGTGCCAATATTAAGACACCATTCCAATCCTGACATAAGCAGAACAGAACAGATTGTTCATTCCATTGTTTGTAGGTATCCACTCAACGCTTGCATAAGTGTCCACCCTCGAGACTGAATGCTAGTGTCCTGTCCATACTCATGGGCTTGCCCACACTGCCGTTCATTTTCCAAACTAGCAGAGATTAGCTTTGTTTGTTTGTTTGTTTGTTTTTTTTGGTTTTTTGTTTTGTTCTGTTTTTGAAATTGCCATTTGAGCCTGAATACAAAGCAAAATGTCCACATTTCTGAGCCTCTGACCCTTTGGTGTCTATCTGTGTGGTGCTCCCTGTTTTCTCCCGATGGCCTTCATTGCTGATCCTTGAACTGCCCAGGCTTGTTCTGACCTCAAGACCTAGGTTTATAACTTGATATTTGTATCACAACTATCTCATTTTGTCTAGGTCTCTCCTGTCATTTTCTCAGAATTCTTTCTAAACAACTCAACTCAGAAAATCCCTTAAGCCATTCCCTGGCATTCAGCATTTTACCTTGCTCAGTTAGTCAGAATGTTCACCATGGCCTGGCATTACATTGTCATTTGCCTTCTATCTCTACCATGATGCATGAGCTATAGACAACAGAGACTATATGCCATTCAGAATGATATAGCTAGGGCCTGGATGTCCAGAGCATAGTAATCAGAAAAAAAAATGCTATTGTGTAGGCTTAGATTTTTCACCAAACCTATTTTATTTATTTTATTTAGGGTTCCTTAATGCTTCTGCCTCCCTTCTTCCCACTGAGCAGATGTAGGAGAAGAAGAAGGTTATTAGGTAAAGGGGTCTGTAAACATTTTTAGAAGTAGTTCTTTGGGATGAGTCCACTCTTCTTTGTCCAGATACAGCAGTCCAGCCCAAAGGCCAACACCAATCAGCAACACAAATCAGCAGATTCAGAAGATCAGGACAAGTCAGTGAAAGCCACAAGACTCAGTTGGAATTCCTGGAGAAGTTCTCTGAAACTTTGCTCTCTGCGAAGCCAAGTGTCAAAGCATGAAGATCAGCTCGCAATGTCAATCTAAAAAGGGATGTCTCAGTGTCCATGGGCTCCTATACATCTCTTCTCAGATGTTCTCAGCTGGCCTAACCAAAGTCAATCCCCTCGCATGAGACAGCTCCCAGCAAAACATCACTCACAGCAAAACATCGTGTGCCCTCTCACAAGCCAGCCTCCAACAAAGTATCACATGACTCAACTGAGTCTTCAAAGAAACCAGAAACTTCCACTTCACTGTTGAGTGGGGGAACTGGTGAATTATCGCTGAAAATGTCTAACTGCTCACTGGACAGGCTACTTAACTTTGGTTAAATATCACTCCTGTGTCCTGTGGCATGTCTCTCCTGCTCGTTCCCCACCTGCTTCCATTGCTCCAACTCTATTGTGCTCCACCTCTTTGCGTTGCTATGTTACCCCATCTGCTAGATCCCACAAGACCTTGGACTCCTTCCCCAGTCCCCCATTTTCTCTTTTGAGGCAGGGTTTCTCTGTGTAGCCTTAGCTGTCCTGGACTCACTTTGTAAATCAGGCTGACCTTGAACTCTCAGTGATCTGCCTGCCTCCCTGAGTGCTGGGATTACAGTGTGTGTCACCGTGCCGAGCTCAGTCTCCCGGTACTGATTTCACCAGTCATGCCAGCCTCTGCTGAATGAAGTCTCACCTACCAGGGCTTCTCCACTAGCCCCTATGGCCATTCCTCGACACTGAAATCATCTCTGATTCTTTCACAGCTCACGGAAAGCAGGGCTTGGCCTCCTCTGCTCTCTTACAATGACCAGAACATCTCTTATCATGCGACTGTTCTTAGTAACTGACACCCAGGGGAAAAGCTAGGCCTTCGGTACCCACAGGCCTGACTTGAACTGCTGCTGGAAACTGTCTGCAGGACCAGCACCCATCAGTGTGTATGTACTCCAAGACTCTTCATTTATAAAATGGTGTAAGGCTCTGAATAGCATCATAATTCCTCTTTAAAGGTCGTGAAGAGTGCAACACAAGCTGCCAAATATAGCCAATATCTCTTGTTCCCTCCGTTTACTCCTCACTGTAGCCTTATAGCCTTCTCCTCGTCAGTCTTGTCCTGACCCCCACACTTTTACTCACTGTTTTCTTCTTGCCTGGAAGATGTTGGCCTGTCATCTTCCCCTAGCTGTGCTCCTGGGCAGCTTCTAAAGCCCAGTTCTAAAGCCCAGCTTCCAAAGCCGGCTCCTCAGGGTGCACTCCACCATCACCCTGTTCCCTCCAGCGTCCTCAGCTCTCAGTGACAGTGGGTCAGTGATGACGAGGCAAGACTCTCTTCAGACACTGCCCGCTTTGTGCATGGGGTGTCCATCTTCTCTCCTAATTGATAAGCATCTCGAGGGCAGCAATGTGTTCCTCTTCCCCCGTGTTCCTGGCCCCAGCACCCCACAAGCTCAGCTTGCACTTAGGTGAATTACATAGGTCAGACTGAAAAGTACTTCAGTCTCATCGGGGAGAATGCTCTTCAGGTGGGACACTAACAGACTAGGATGGAGCGAAGGAGATCCATACCCAGCCAGGCCAGCCAGAGCAATGTACCCTAACGATGGAGGGGAAAGACAAACATAGACGCCAGCCTGCCTTTCAGGCTGGAGCTGTGTGGTCTGGGGGCCCTGAGCAGTTCTCCTTTAAAATAGAAAAAGCTCACCTTCCTCAAGAGCTGGCACTGTCTTCTGCCTCTGATGAGGACAGCCAAGTTCAACACGTAGGAAGATGGATATAGAGACACGTGTCACAGCCGCAACTGGACGCTCCCAGCTCCCAACAGGCTGGACAGAAAGGATCAAAAGCTGCACAGGCCAGGCAGTGATAAATTTATGAAGTCCAGTCATCCCCATGAAAACACTGTGTATTTTAATCTGCCCAGTGGAAATAAATCAATCTTGAATTTCTGCAGCAGGAGCCTCGGGTTGGCTCTGCTTCTTCTAAGGATAAAGGGATCTGTTTACACGGACCATTCCATCTTGAGATTCAGTGTTTCCTCAGCAGGAGGGGCCCCTGAACTCACCTTTGTGTTTCCCCTGTCACAGAGCGTCCTGGACATCTAACTCTTCCCCAGAACACAAGCTTCGTGATTACGCTCAGGTTTACAAACACGACTGTTGGCACGGAGAAGCGTGTGGGAGGTCGGGCAGACCACCCTGACGTCTGCCTGTGAACGCCGGGTTGGAAAATGTCCTGACGTCAGCCAGAGTGTGACTACATTTCTGAAAACTTGGCTTTCTCTTGGTGGTCGAAACAGTGAGCCTTTTTGTTCATTGAATGTTGAAAAAACAAGTATGCCAGAGAAGGCCTTGTGCTAACAGCTTCCAAAGCTCTGAGCTATTTTTGACTCCTTTTCCCCTCTCTTGGGACTTGAGAACGTTTAACAAACCTGAATTAGAGATGTGTGATTGTTTTGTGTGTACATCAGCAATCTTAGGCTGAGCCAAGTGCTCAGCCATTTGCCTTCCATGTGGCCCACGAGGCAGCCCCTTTGTGTGTGGTTCTTTGGACAACAGTTAGGCATGGACACCAAATGTGTTGGCTTTGTGGGGGTGTGGCTGAGAAGTTGAGGTGCTGAACCGTGATCTTTCATCTTAGATACTCTATTGTACAAGGTGGCTATTTTTGGTTCCAAGATAGTTTGTAGCTATCTATTTTTTCCTTTTTGCTTTCTATTTTTTTAACTAATTTTTTTTCAACTAAATGAGCTTGTGAAGTCTCTCAATATAAATATAAATGTAGAATAAATATTATATATATTCACATGCCATAATTGGAGAAGTTATTAACCCAGGTTAGCTATGTAGACTATATATAAATCAGTATTGTGTATTCACATTGAATTTATATTGTGAATCTATATTAAATGTACATATGTCATGCCATGGATGTGTGTAACACTTATGTAAATATATGTATGGAACTGAAACAGGGTCCTCTGCAAAAGCGGTTGTTAGCCACGGGGCCATCTGTCCAGTCCCATATTATCAGTTACACTCAAGGCAAACCCACCCAGAGCACTTTTGCTGCACGCCTGTACACAGACACTCCTTCTATAAGGTCCAGCCCTACTTAACACGTGTTTGCTGTGTTGTTCACCCTGTCCTTCTCCTGGGAACTTTTGGCAATTTGGTTCTTAAAGAGTATGTTCATCTACCTCATTCTTTTTCATAGCTACATAGTGTTCCATATTTGCATGTAGCATAGTTTAATATTCCAGCCCTCACTATAAGTCATGTAGGCCATTCCTAAATTTCTGATTCCTGTCCTTTACCCACGTGTAACGGCGGTTCTTGGCTGTCAACCTGACTACATTTGGAATTAACTAAACCCAAGTGACTGGAAACACATAGGGATTTTTTTTTCCCTCAAATAACTTGAAGTGGGAAGACTCACTTTAAATCTGAACCTCTTGAGGTGAAAAGATGCACCTTTAATCCAGATCTTTTGAAGTGGGAAGACCCACTTTTAATCTGGGCCACACCTTCTGGTGGTAGCCTATATAAAGGACTTGGGAAAAAGAAGCTTTTATTCTTTGCCTGAATGTTTTCATTCTGGCTGGCAAGTCAATTCCTTCACTGGCTTTAGATCCTGCTTCTTCCAGATTCTGATGCATACCAAAGACCAGCTGAGACATCCAATCTCATGGACTGAATAGCAACTGGATTCTTGGACCTTCCATTAGTAGACAGCTATTGTTGGACTAGCCAGACCACAGCCTTTCAGCCATTCTAATAAATATATATTTATTCTATCAATTCTGTTCCTTGAGACAACCCTGGATGATATACCATGTCTCTAGCTTGGCTCTGTTCTGATTGTCTTCAGTCTGCCTTGTCAAGTTGGCAGTCTAAAATGTCTAAAAATGTCCCCCAGCCTCTCTTTGAGTGAATGGCTGTGAACAACTGTATTTTCTCCTTTTTTGTTTGGTTCTTTGCTTAATATAGAATCTTGCTCTAGCACAGGCCAGCCTAGAGCTTGCTATATGGCCCAGTTTGGCCTTGTACTCTGTGGCAATCCTCCTGCCTTGGCTTCCCAAATATTGGAATTACAGGCATGGGACATTGTATCCAGCCTACTTTTCTTGTTCTAAAAATACCTTTGTTTTGCCTTTACTTTGGAAAGTTAGTTTGCCTGGATATAGAATTCTGTGTTTTTTATGTTTTTCTTCCTGTGTTTTAGAAGTGATCCTTTATTGTCACTTGACCATTACTATGTCTGATAACTGCTGAGTCATTCCGATCATTGAATTATTTTACTAGAGCACACCTCTCCATGACTAGGTGCTCATTTCAACATTTTGTTTTGTTTTTCATTTAACATGTTAATTTGGCAAACACAAATTTGTTGTATTTTTTTTTTTAATCTGTATCTTACCATTTTGGGGACTTACTTAATTTCATTGGCTGTAAGCTTTTCCCCACCAAATTTAGGGAAACCAGCCTTTACTTCCTCAAATATCATTTTTCCTTTCTTCTCTCATTTCTCTTTTCCCTCTTCCTTTCCCCTCTCTCTTTTTCTCCATCAACAGGGTCTTGCTATACAGCTCAGACCGACCTTGAATTGGAAATCCTTCTGCCTCAGCCTCAAGTGGGGCCACCGCTGTACCACCGTGCCTGGGTTTGAACTAATTTGCTATCCTACTCTTCCTCTTCCTCTCCTGTGTCTATTTAACAGGTGTGCATCAGGAATCTTGCAACTGCTCTCCAGCTCACTCAGCTCTGATTACTTCTTTAGATAATTTCCATTCCTTAGACCAAAATCATTTCTACTGGGTGTTACTTCCTAGATTTTTTGCTTTCTTTTGGGGCTGTCTACAATCTAATCTTAAGTGTATCCTATATTTTTTTCACTTTGTGTGTCATATTTTTATTTATTGCTATTTCTAAGCTAAATTTCACTAAGACCGTGTTTTAGAACCACTTTAAATGATTTTTGATGACCTCTAAAGTCTTTGTGTCCTGACTGCACTATCTTTGTTACCATTGGATCCGTTAGGTGGCTACTCTGAATTCTGGATATGGGACCCCTTCTCTCATTTCTTTTCATATCACTTTATTCGTTCTTTGAGAATTTCATACAATGCATTTGGATCATATTCATCCATCCCTCAAATCCTCTCATATCACCCCTCCTCTTTATACCTGCTCAACTTTGAGTCCTGATGTTGTATTCTGAACATGTGGATGATCTATTGTAGGAACCTGAGATTCTGTTTCCCTTGTTTAAAGAGTACAGTCCTTTCTCTGACAGTTGTTAAATTACTGGTCACTGCGGGTGTTGTGAAGGAGGTTTTTATAATTTATTAAAGTGGGGTTCGTTTTGGTTGTGTCCGATGCTGGGTCCTTCACTCTTGGACATGGTATTTATTTATATCAGAAAGACCTTTTTGATATTCCAGTTAAAAATAAAAACTCTGAAATAGTCACCACATCATTGTAATTTGACTGGACTTAGGTTCAAGGTTCCAGTCCCCAAGCTGTGGCCAGCAGGTATCATCTCTGCTCTAGGCCAAGTCTTGGTATCAGGATCACTAGAATGTGCTTATCTCCCTCCAGATCAGATGTTAGCCAAGCATTTGACAGACAGGTGTTTGAACATCTGGATGATCCCCTTCAGTCTTTCTGTGGTCTCACTTCTCAATTTTCAGATGCCCTGCCTGCTTACAACCCCACCTTTGAAGTCAGTTAATTTTAGACAATTAATCTGTGACTATTCAACTTTGCATGAAACATCCAACACTTACTTAATGCCCTCAAGGGAAAGGCTTGAAGGTCTATCTTTGAGGGTTGAACTCCCTCTATATCCGCTGGATTTGCATTGCTCTCCTAACTCTACATAATTTAGCAACTAATTTTAGAAAGTTGTTTCATGTATTTTGTCCAGCTTTTCCACTCCCACTAAAATTAAAGACTGATAATAATTTGGTTTTAAATAGTGTGATTTCTGTCCCATTGGTCCCATAATAAATTCTATTCATTCTATTTCTTTATAATCAATCTTCTGTTTTTATTTTATTTGCTGGTTTACATTAAAAGGTTATTGACTAAAAAGAAAAATTGATATTCATTCAGAAGCATGGTAGATACTGAATGAGCTCCTGGCACACTGATATACATTATTGCTAAAAGACTATGCCCTTCATGCAATGTGCTTGGATGCTTTCCTGTTTTATGTCTCCATTGATGTATTGCTCAAGGTTATATTAGCAGCATTTCTTACTTCTATATACTTTTGTACAGCAAACTGCTCCTCTTTTCACAAATCAAACAAAATTTGTATTATATTGGCTTATACATAGAAAGGAAATCTGTTGATATGTACAACGAAAAAGTACAGGAATATGATGTGTGCTTGACCTAAGAACTCATCTAAAGACCTTAGGACCCACTTTTCCTTTTTGCTTGAGACCTTCATTCTCAGCAGATCCCCATCTCCTAGGCAAAAAGCCAGCTGGCTACCCAAGCCTCACTTTGGTCTAGTGTCAATCTCAGTAGCATTATGAATGACTACACCTTTTTCTACTTAAAACTATTGATTTTCATTGACTTGGAATGCAATAGCTTTCGTACTCTAAATCTGTCACTGTGCAAGGTGAGTGTGACCCTCTGATAAGCAGGTGTGAGACTGTGGCCTATTGGGCGCAGGCTTGGAGTTGGATCCGCTGATAGATGTGTGTTGATGTAACCAGGAAAGAAATAGTTTCTCAAAGGATTTTGTACTAGTAGATGTTTCAACAGGAGAAAGGTTATTTGATTGTGGTGTGCTACACGGCAAATGCTTGCTGTGACAAACTAGTGTATTAATTGGTGGTTGTTTCTTTGTTAGTACTACTTTAAGAATCAAAAGTCCTGATGCTGTCAGTGTCTTTGGTCATTAGCTGGCCTTCAAGGTGTGGTGTAGAGCCTGTGGAGCCCACCCTGGGGAAGTCTGTATGAGTCTTCAAGCCAATGCTCTGAGGAGACCCTTAGCTTCAGTGGTTCAGTCACTGTTTATGGAACCCTCACAGGTTTACTTGAGATAAAAATCACTTGCTTCATTAAAATTTCACCGAGTTAAATAGGTGAGCATTTATTATGGAAATTATCAAATATCCATTTAAAAATATTTATAAGGGGAGACACCAGGCTAGAGCTGATGCAGCAAGCTAACAGCTGGCTCCGA